ATACTAACTCATCCTGATCAAAGTTTTTTGTATTGGAAAACGAGTATCGGGAACACCTGTGACTTATGCTGTTTACCATGAAAAAATAGGTGCTTTTTTGCAATGGCACAGCAATTTGGCCACAATTCGTCCGAGTTTACAAACAACAAGTAAAGAACAGCTCTAGAGCTGAATAGAATGTAATTTCGGGAAAGGTTACGTATTGATTTACCTATGCTATAAAATACAATATTGCATACACTAGTACATCGAAAAATCGAAAAATCAGAGAAAATGGTAAGGATGGTCAATTTTGGTTATGAAAGAAATAATGTAGTGAATAATAAAGTGTGTGAGATTCAAGGATAGTCACAACTCAATAGCAATACATGTTGGAAAGAACTCGAAATAAAATAATTTAAAAATATACTGAGGTCATACCTTCGATGACTCTTGTATTGTCGATCAATGGGTATTTGGATTCTAAAACCACTAAAACTAGACAATATGTCGTTTTTAACGCAATATTCAATGGGCCGCGAACTGCTCTGAAAATCGATCCATATGGCTTTTCGTCACAGGAAGTTGCCAACTACAATAAAGTCTTTAGAAAAGGGATCTTCTAAGGTTTTGCTAAATGAACACGACTATCGAATCAATTGCCTGAAAGTCACATTTTATTGCAGTATGAAAGAATTCATCCATACAGCACAACTACGAAATTAGAGAAGTCATCCATAGGAGCCCATTACTAACTTGAAAGAAAAGTGCAATATAGTCAAGCCGATTCAATTTGTTTCTCCCTTATACACATTTAGCATTGGATTGCAGCTATCATCTCAGAAAGGGTTCATTTTACCTGTAGCTTTAACCGAAAATCAAAATTTTGTACGACTTGACAAACCTTATCGAATCAGCGTGGATGTTAAATGTTGAGTGAAATATCATGATGATTGCACAAGTAGTGGCAAATAGCGTCAATAATTAATGGTGTTTGTAAAAACAAAGCATACGTCTGAAAATCTCTCATGCTATCGCGTCACCGTCAGTGTGCGTTACGTCTGAGACGCTTGATGTGAGTTCGGCAGCATGTATCCATGCATACACCTCGTACGCATTACCGAACATCTCTCACGTAGCCTTGGAACTTGGGTGTAGGTGAGGGTGTGGTGATTTAACGATTCAAAAATATGAATTCGCAAGTTTACAACTGACAAATGTCCGATTCTCATCAAAAGTCACACCTCCAAATATTGAGATCACGATTTCGTATCGTACAATAAGGATCTCGGATAATGCTGAATATATTGATTAGGACCATGAAAACTTTGCTAGCGATTAGAAGTTAAATTTCATCTAAATTAAACATTTTCTACCTTGAAATTTGAAATTCAGTTTTCTAGACTGAGAAGATTAGTGAATGAGGATGTGAATGCGACTGAAAGATTTGTTATAAAGAGAAAGTGGCACTCGTGGTACGATCCATACTACAGATGATCGTCCGAAGCGCGTAAGTCAGTGTAAGAAGAAGGCTACGGGCTAGTGGCTGGATGTAGCTGGGTTTTAACTGTCACATTGACTATTGGATTTCATCTGAGAATTTTAGTAGGATGTATGATATAAGATGTGGTGCTATGGTTTAGGGCATAGAGTACAGAGAGTTGGTTTCAGATGTGAATCTTTTTAGCAAAACTCTACAGACTCAAGAATGCTGAAGCAAACTGGGGACGCAAAAATCTAAATAACTGTGATGGGAGCATGAATTACGGACCTCTAATTGAACCCTTTGCGATAACAGATTGTGAGAGTTTTTGAGAAGTTCTATTTGTGCCACTTTCTTAAAGATTAGTTAGAGACAACCAATATTGCTGTCTCATATTGAAGGTCGATCAAGTTAATTCAAAAGAGTAGATAATGGATGAAGTTCTGACAGGAGTTTACCTAAATGAAACTTTCGTAATCACAAGCAGACAAAAACAGACGCGCTACTAACAAACTTCGACAGACTGTTACCTGTGCAGAAGCGTTGTATTTTGTCCTTCGGCTTGTTACTTGTTTAAGTCAATATTTTTCTTAGCCTGTCGTGCTTTTTTTTTCTTCGTTCTCCATTTATGTCAACAGAAAAAATACTGTTTGTCATAGTTTTGTTAAAGAAAGAGGTATAGAAATTTCAGCGAAAGAGTCTACCATACAGCAACATCTAAAGCTTCGTTTGAGTAGATACCTCTTATGAAAAGAATGACTGACAAGAGGCACGCAATCTATCTCGAAACGAGCCTCCTTCGATGAAAATCATTAAATTGATTTGAATTCAAAGTTGAACAGGCAGAATCAAACAAGGATATAGATGTATGATTTCGTTGTGGGTGCCGGCTTCAGTGTGGTTGCATGAATACGAATAATGTGTGCGTGGGTGATTGTATTTGTGATGGCGAGAGACGAATAAAGTCATCTCACATTTATACTCACATCCCACACCCACACCCTTCTTGAAGCGTACTATTTGCCCATTGATTGGACAATATCTATCCACTCCTTTTTTAGACATAAACGTACCAAAATGTAATTTTCACCATCTAGTAGAGTCCATCGAATTGCACTTGGAACAATGAATACCATTAGTAAAACATTCTGTTGAGCGAATCGGTCGAAAAAATATCGGGCCAAAAATGGACTTGGGCTGGTATATTGGCGTTTCGTCGATAAAGAAGCATGCTATCGAGATGCGTTTTGCAGCATTATATAGAACTCGACGAATTGTTATTGGAACAGCAATAGTTCACTTGGAACAGGTTCTAGCTGAATCGGTCCAAAAAATTACTGTTTTTGAGAATTTAGCTAATGGGAGAGAAGTGAGTATTTAAAATTTTTTTCGACTATTGTAAGAAGTATGGGGAAACGGTTTTCACTATCTGATAGAGCACGTCAAGTTCTACTAGGAACGGCTGAAGACAGAATTGGAAGGAGTCCCTTGGCGAGTCGATCCTAAAAAGAAGTCGAATATGGACCTAAGATATGCTACATGAGAAATGCTAATTTCGTGCAATTAAAAAATCAGATGCTCAAGAGAAGGGCTGCATACACGTGCATTATTGTCAACAACTACATTATCTCATAATGAAAGGTCGTCGAAGAACTCTTTTTCCAAAAATGGAAATGTGAAATAGAAAAGAAAAGTTTTTCAAAATTTTACCTAGAAGTCGAATTAAAAGGGTCCTCTGAAAACTTTGTATACTCGAATACAATAGAAGTCTCCACGTCTTCTAATGTAGAAGGAAATTGAGTCACTTTTATAATGCATCTGTCAGTGACCGGCAACGGTCAATTTTTTGAGACCCCATCAGACTCAACAACAGACAAGTATTTTTGTTTAACGCATTCAGTCTGATGTAACCCACGGTGAATCACACTATATTTTAAGAAGAAACTGCATAGAAAACTGCTTCCTTATACCTTTTACTTAGGCAGGAGGTTACACATAATGTATTACCTGCTCTGTCTTCAGTATTTTTTGAGTTCTTTATTCCTTAGCATGATGCTTCTCGTTAAAACAATCAAGGTATACGTACCTCAACGTCATAAAGGGAGTTTTACAATAGAGAAAAAACGAAAGGGAAGAATAGAATTAGCAAGAGAACTGGTGAACTAGTGAATGTAATAGCGAATGACTGCAAGAAGAGAAGCACCGACACATACATATATAAGTATGTTGGAGAGTACCAAATATGATGTAAACGAGTATATTATTGGGAAAAGTCTAATATAATATAGAACATATGATAACATACTGGGAAAAACTCAATACGTCATGTTGGTAAAAACTAGTATGTGATGCATAGATATAACTGTCCATCTAATATACCAATCAGAAAAGAGGAAACAACGAGCCAGCACAGAATGAAAAGGACAACGAATCCGCACAAAAATGAATCTGCTAGAGCTATTCAGTAATAAAACTGAATCGCGCTGAATGTATTAAACTAATTCGAAGTTGTTCACATAAAACAATTGTCATCTCATTTGAACTATTGATAGTATCCGTTTCAAAATATAGTTCAGTTAGTTTCGAGATACATAACTCGAAAATGGAAAGAACTGCTCACCTGCAGTCTATGATGTTGAAAGGAGAACACAAGCAAGAGGAAGAAAGCAAATTTGGACTTTATTTAATTTTGAGCTTTTTACGTATGACACCGATGGTTTTGAAGCTGGATTAGATTTTCGTAGGCTTCATAGTGTTTTATGCAACGTTGAAAAACTTGCGAAGGTGTGAGTGTGAGATTGAGTCTTTTTTTCAATATTATCCATATCCACTCCCACCTACACCATAACAACTCTAATCATACCACCTTACAGATGTCCATCGTCGATTAAACAAATACATGCATTGAATGATTATATTAAATGGTGTATATTCGAATGAATGATCATTTGTATTAATTTCAATTCATTCTAACCAAAATTCAACAGAATTCTCTTATTAGAAGAGCTCAAACGTAGATTGATCATTGTGTCAACAATCATCAGCTATAGTATTTAGCATTTTGACTATTTATTCTTCAACAACGGGTTACATGGCAATGATAAAATACGATTACTCGTATAATTTCTCATATGTTAACAACAATGACCATAGATATGACCCAGGTTTAAATCATTTTAGATGGAAGTTTTCGTTGTGTTTTGGCTAGAACAATTTGAAACTAAACAAAAACTGTTGATTCAGAAATTGAAAGAGGCAATACGGAAGATGTCGTACTGGGAATTTTAAAAACTCATTTTAACAGAGTATCAAACCAGAAATATTTTTCATAATAATTTTACATACGATCTAACTTGAAAGATGAAGTTTCAAGAGTGCCAAGATCTATGTTCTTTTATTTTTCATTATCAGACTTTGACCTTTTTTCTTTGTTATCTCAACATGTTGACGAGTAGCCTATCGCGTTTGTTCTTATCATTTTGCTTTGAAAAAGCTCGACTTCAGTAGTGACGTTTACTTTTATTTGCAGTGTAGAACTATGTGGCTAACTCTTACATTAGTGGGCCTATGTATCTATGTTGTCTACCATTTAATCCAATTCTGGATCATCAAACCATGGCGTGTACATAGAGATTTATCGTCTCAAGGTGTGCCGGGAAGATATATACCGATTGTAGGTGATATTCTTCGTATTCGACAAGCCGTTCTCGCAGAAAAACCATTATCGTATTCTATCGAAGCTGCAAAAGAATTCGGTGACTATTATCGCATGTCATTAGGTCCGATTCCGGGTTTCAATATCAGTGATCCATCATTGATTGTTGGAGTATTGAAGACTAATGCTCATGCATACCGAAAGTCAGTTTTTATGCAATCAATTATTGGAACATTGATCGGTACTGATAACCTTCTAACAAGTGAAAATGAGACACATACTCAATGTCGGCGATTGGTAAGTCCCGTATTTCAACGTCAAAATCTCAACTCAATGATACCAATGATGATTGAAATAACATCAAACGTTCTCGATAAATGGGCACAATGTGCCTATACGACTGAAAACAGAATAGCCACTATTGATATTTGTGAAGAGATGGCACTTCTAACATTGAGTATGATATGTGGTTGTGTATTTGGAAAAAATATTTCAAAGGATAAAAATATACCTGAAAAAATATATCAAAATGTAACAGTCATACTTAAAGAACTCGAAAAACGTCTTTTTGATATGATCGCCATCCTTCCATTGATCAATCGATTACCACTTCCGAGTAAACTACGTATTGACAAATCAATGCAAGATCTTCGCACAATTGTTGAATCTGTCATCGATGAACGAAAGAGAGGCTTGACAAAGTCTACTGCAAAAGGTTTTCATTATAATTTTAGTTGTTTTGTTTTCTTGTCTTTTCTCTACTCTAATTGAAACGTTAGGACCTGATTTACTCGATCAACTGTTGACAAAATATGGTCATGACGAAACAAATCAGGCAACTGTTGACAAAATTTACCAAGAAACATTAACATTCAGTAAGATATAATTTTAATAATCATAGAAAATAATAAATCGGTCATATTTTCGATTTGAAGTCATTGCTGGTCATGAGACTACATCGAACTTGATGGCATGGACTTTATACAACTTGGCATGTTATCCTGAAGTTTATCGTCGTTGTCAAAATGAAATTGATTCAATTTTAAATAATGAAGATGTAATAGATTCTTCAACACTCTCACTTCTCAATTATACAGAAGCCGTATTAAAAGAATCATTACGACTTTATCCATCAATACCTCTGTTACCTCGCACTGCAATTAAAGATAATATTCTTGTAACAAGTGATGGAAAACACATTCGGATTAGCAAAGGAACCGAAGTTATTGTCAATTTGTATACGCTTCATCAGTAGGACTAAATACATATACTGATTGATAGATTTTATATCTTATTTATATAAAACTACAGTTCAGAAAACCATTGGTCGGAACCGGAAAAATTTGATCCATCTCGATTTGATCAACATCAATCAGACAAGTTTTTGCCATTTTCAATTGGTTTTCGTTCTTGTATTGGACAACATTTCGCTATGTTAGAAGCTAAAATCATGTTATTAATGATTATTCGACGATTTCATATCGAACTTGTACCTGGACAAAAGCATGTTCCAGATATTGCTATCACATTAAGGTGATTTGTTTCTCACACAGATTTTTGTTCTCTCTATTGGCACACTTTTTTTTCCATTTCAGACCTAAATATGAAATGTGGATGCGAATGTCGCTACGGTGATATCGACATTCATATTATTCAACACAGCAAAACCAAGTAAAGAATATGATCAATTTTAAAAATCAATGAAATAATAAAATCAAAACTAAGATTAAGATATGATTCGTTTCTATCATAATTAGCAAATCTAAATTTCATTTGTACTTCGTGCATCTATACAAGAAGAATGTCATGAGTAAAAGGGATCTTCTGATGGAAGTATATGCTAGGTAATGTGAGACAACAACACGAAGCCAAGCCAACGTTGAAGCACACTTGAATTGGATCAATTCATCTTTAATAAAAATGAATATGTGATTTCTTGCAGAGAAGAAAATAACTTATTAGCTATCTGAGTTCATATGAGTTCTGTTTACCTGTTGTTGGCTTGTAAGCAACGACAATGGACGTTTCAGTCATGTCTTCGTGTCGCTAGCAAAACTAATCTAATTAACCTCAATTTTTAAAGAATTAGAAACAGATTGTCAATAAAGTATTTTTTTTTTCGCCATCTCATTGAACTTAATCAATAAGACTAATGCCGAAAAGAGTCAAGAATTCTCTTTGTTCAAATGTGAATGAGACGAATCATACAGCTCATTGATTTCAGACTATCTTTAATTTACAAGAATTGAAATTGTGCAAGAGGAATCGGTATTGATAAACTAAATCAACGGATTTTATTGAATATTGCTCAACATTATTTAAAATCGTATTATGTTTCATACACTAAGCCAAGGTTCATAACTGATGATGCGATAGTTGGATGTCGAGGTCAAAATGATTTATGTTTGATATTTAGTGAGAAATACAATGGATGTAAGTGGCGATATAGAGGTTTTCACTTCATCGACACTCAAATTCACATTCGAGTGGCTTGTTAGTCATTGGAGACTTGTTATACCGATATCGAACTACACGCGAAGCTAGTGTCGGGTTTTTTGAAAACAACGTTGTGCATCTTCTTGTACATTTTTGTGGATTTTAATTCTGTCTAAGCTAATGTGGATAAGAAAGATGGAGTGGCCTCAAATTTCTATGACGCTGCAAAAAGAAGTAAAGCTCGGGTGTTCGATTTCTATGTTCAGTCGACATGGTATCAGTTGTTTGAAGAGGTTTTACCTGCAATTGAAAACTCATGAAGAAAAATTGTATAAAATAGCGCTCTAACACCAACTTTCAGAAAGAAAACACTATTTTTGCGTTTAAATGCATTGTCTTTATCTGGAACATATTTTTTTCTAATTTACATGCCGCCGAAGAACATCGTTTAAACGCGTTTTTTATCCTGAACCAACTCTATTGAATATATCGTTCGAACATGTTTTTTTATGGGCTCACAGGCATTTATTTTCCAGCGTTTAAACGCATTTGTTTGACGTTCTTTCATTAGAAAAAACAAATTTTTCATAAACGCACTAAAGTGCATTTTTCAAAAATGCGTTTTCTTATCAAAAATGAGTTTTTTATATTCACATTCGTATTCTGCGTAAAAATGCCGTTTTGTAGAGTGAAGTCTGATACCGTTTGGGTCAACATTTTGTAGTATTATACTCAAAAATATATCAGTTTGATGGAGAACAAGTGTAACCTGGATAAAAAAATTTCTGGATCAAGTTTGAAAAGCTACAGACTAGATGATGTCGTAGTAACAACTCAGTTAATATTTTCCGTGCAACGATTCTGCATGCAGTACCTGGATGTAGGGTGTGCTGATGTAGGGGTAGATCTGAGTTCATTAAATAGCCGAAAAAAATCTAATCTCTTAGCTCATAACTATGTTGTCCTTGAGCACATCATTAGATAGATAATCTCGAGAAGCCTATGAATATCTGTTACTTTCATGAAAATTTCAATTTATTATTAAAATGAAACAAAAAGTAACTATAAATCTTTCGGTCGCGAAATCTGATAAAAGATAAATGACATCCGAGTCACTGATATGCTACATTTTTAGTTACAACCACCGCAAAAAGCTCTTTAATCTTTGAAATTTTAACTGTTCACTTTTAATACCCTCAAAATCGAACATGAGATCTATTCAATTTATCTAAGTATTGAGTTCCTATTTATTGTTTTCTATGACTTTTCTTCGTCCTCTCTAATCGTATATCTCTTATCGGAGTATAGTAATCATCAATAATTGTCTTAAATCCATTTATTATCTTCCATCATAACTTTATATATTCAGTAATTGGTGTGTACTCACTATTAGTAGATGATGACATTCATAAAATGCTGATATGTAAGTTCTAGTAAATAATTCGTAATGCATCTAATACAATTTTACTAATGTCTGAAAAGTAAAGTCATCATATCGGAACAACAAGAATAATAATGAATTAGCTGCTATAATGGAGATACTTGTTCACAATAAACCAAAAATTTGTAGGTCGAGCCTGACAAAGAAGACTCTCTTTTTCGTCTTATGTTCGATTTTCTGTCGACGTATGAAGCGCAATCATATAATTGATATTTTTAAGCATGTTCGTTTACCGGATTTGTAGACGACCCATGGATTAAGAGCCACTGAACGTTTGATAAACTGTGAATGAATCCCGATGTAAAAAAATTAGGGATAAAATCAGATTAAAATCGATTATAATCAGACGCTTTTAATCGATTTTTAATGATTTTTTAATTGATTTTAATCAAAAATAACCAAAAAACTAAAAATTTCATTGATTATCCGGATTAATTTCGATTATAATCAATTAAAACTCAATGAAAAAAAAATTAATTATAATTGATGGAAACTGATAAAAACTGGCTAAAGATTTTTTGATTTATTACGAAGAAAAATCCATTAAAATTGATGTTTTTTTTTGCATAATTTTTAATCGATTATAATCAAAATTAACCCGGATAATCAATGAAATTTTTATTTTTTCGGTTATTCTTGATTAAAACCAGTTAAAAAAATGATTAAAAATCGATTAAAAATGTATGATTATAATCGATTTCAATCTGATTTTAACTCTAATTTTTATAGATCGGATAGTCAACTCGTGATCGCGCGGTCGCCATATAGAAAGGAAGGCGGGCGCGGACAATGCCCATCCCTGCTAGGAAAGACCGTTACATACGTGTGTATATATGAAAACACCTTGTTTTATCCTTTCTTCATATTTTCTATATCGAAAATTTTCTTCATAAGTATTTAATATAAAATTATGACAAGTACATATAGATATGTAGAATTTTATGTAAGATTTGGTGGCATGTTTGAAATTTCTAGTCGAACAACTTGTTCAATATCTCCAATATTTTTTTTTCGTTTTTCAACCATTGCAAATGGACGATTGAGTAGCTATTCATATAATAAACTTTGCATCAACAACAAAATATTGTTTAGAAAACAAAATAGACAGTTTTGTAGAGAAATACATTTTCTATCAAATGAAGTGAGAAGTTGATTTAAAAATGATTATCAAGTGTTTCAACAACAGAGCACAAAAATGACCAATAATTATGTATCACTCGTCATTATCATATGAATGTATTTCATCATTTTTGTTGCATCAACATGATTCCAAAGACCTCTATCATTTTTCTCTTGTATCCTCTTTTCTTTTGTCATTTTTGACAATGTATCAGTTGTATATTCAAGCTTCCTATTGATCTTCCATTTATAGAGTGTGGATGTAGATGAAAAAGAATTCCACAGACGTACTTTCAAATTTGCTTCACATAATTTGTTAATCAAGTACTAGAAACCAGCTCATCAAAATCTTATTATCACTTGATTTCTGGAAAAACATCAATCAATTCTCGAACTTTCTTCACTTGCGAGCAGAAAAAACTTATTCAAGAACTTGCTTAAAGCAATTCGTCTAGAATAAGTCAAATCCAAGCTTAAAAAAGGTTTTACAAGTCTCGATTTGAACTTGTCCATCTCTGTTGGAGATATATTCTGCATGTTCTTTAAGAATGACTGCACAAATCTAAGCTGTTATATAAACCTCAAATTAATATTACTTGTTTAGTGAGGCTGTTTTTTGTATCACAACATTTATCAGAGGTGCACACATACACTTGTCGAACAAAAAAAATTTCGCTGCCTGTATGCTAGTCACAGTGATTTTTTTCTTTTTCGTTTCTTTTTTTTTTATTACAGATGAATGCTTTTTTTTCTCTTTGATCAGAGAAAAATTCGAGAGAAAGGAGAAAACTATTTGACACATTACAAAGATAAAAATATGTAAAATGTAATTAAAAATTGGCGAAAAATGTAACTGGCATGCAATCGTTATGCTTATTTGTCGGATTATGTGTTACTAATTGTATACGAGGTTTTTCTTGTTTTCATAACTAACTAAACTCATTCCCTTTTTATGTTATATGCAAGAGCAGAGTTTTCGATTTTGATTTTTCAATTTGTCCTGATTTTTACTCGAACATGCGCTATTTTTCGTATTTGAGTGGACTCGTAATATACTTCTATTCAACAGAGAGCACATATAGTGGCTCTGAAAATGAGTGACCGTTTCTTGCACTACTATTTTGATTGGTTTGAAATGTTTGAATGAATTCAACAAAACAGCTGTAATGCAGTCTATAATGTAGGTTATTGCCAGTAGTGTATATGTTATCGTTTTCAGATCGTTTGTTTTTTGTAGTTACTTTCCCATTGGAGAAATAGTACATTAGAAGTTGATGCAAAATATTTTCTTCCTATAAATATTAAATTCATATTAATGATCATATTTATGATACATTGTATAAAGTCAGTATCATTCTTTAGATATAAAAGTGGTCCATGTATTTAACAAGAGATTCGATACTAAAATTGATTATTTTTTCGATCTTAATTATCACGTTATTCATGTTATCGAAATCACCTCACTTTTGATGATTAATCAGTGATCTGTCGAATATCACAATAAATCGCGATTAATCGATGATTCTTCAACTAACTTCAAAAGTAAGAATTATTATATAAAAATAAATATCTTTTTTCTTCTATTTAAATCATGTGTTCATCTTAATAAACAGTAAGTATGATTTTATTAAAAAAGAAA